ATACCGCCCACACAAACGAAGTGCGAAGCCCAAATTCCCCCGTAATTCAGCCACACGCCCGCCCCCCCCCCCTCACCCTCCCCGCAATTAGCACAGGCAGGCACCGCGGATGTGTGAGCCGCCTAATTAGAGGTCGGTGCGCAGAGCCCGTGACCGGCATGCACAATCACCCAGCACAAGAGGTGCCCCAAGCTGGTGGCCACATGTCCCACGGCGTGGGCACAGCTCCCACCAGGCAGGGGCTGCTCCGGCCGAGGAGAGCACGGGGCAGCACTTGCCTGGGGGCAATGGAGGAATGGAGGAAGCTCTGGTGGGTTGCCAGCCCACCAGCTCAGCAGTTTCTCAGCTCTCCCAAGCCCCATAAGCCCCTCAGACGCTGGTGTCATGCAGCCAGTGGAGGCAGTGGGATGCCCGGGGATGCCCCAGGATGCGGGGACCGGAATAAGCCCTGTAGGCAGCGGTGGGACCCCATCACCCTGCACACAGGGGGTTGGGGATGCTGCCTTGCCGGAGACTGGCCAGCCCCCTGTACCGCCGGCACGGCGACAGCCTGGTAGCACCGGCTGTGTGCAGGGAGGGGAAATACTGCACGCAGTGGCCAAGAGCCGGGCAGGAACAAGCAATATGGCAGGCATCCGGGTCCTTCTGTAGGACCGTCTCATCATAGCTTCACTCTTCCTGCATGGCCATCCTTGTTCCTAACGAACTGCACACTCGGAGGGGCAGGGGTGGATCCTGCATGGCATAGGGGAGGAGAGATTCGGGCAGCACCGTGATGCCAAGGACGGCCACGCTTCTGGGGGAAGGCAGCCTGTTCCGTGCTGGCACCATCAGGAGCTGGGATTACAGCAGTCTGAGCAGTGCTGGATGGTCTCGGCATCCCCTCCGACGCCAAGGGGACACTGGCCTCATGCCGGATGACCACAGAAGGAGCACGGAGTACTTCCCTTTCTGCAGCGAGCAAGGCATGTGCTCCCTGATGGAGAAGGAAAAAGGTCCGCTGTGGCATACCTGGAGCAGATTTAATGGGTTTGCAGTGGAAGCTGACTGGGTCAGTGCAAGGTCTCCATGAACCCTCCCATGGTACTTGGCCCTTGGAAGCAGAGGAACAGCACCGCGCACTTGGGACAGGGCTGCCACACGCTTCCAGCCACTCTGCCCATGCCGGCCGTTTGCTGGGCGATAGGTGCCCACTGCAAAATCCCCTCCCGAATGGGAAAAAAGCCACTCCAGTGGGATGGCGGGCAAGGACAGGGATAGGGACAGGGACAGGGGTAGAGCGGGAGGAAGGCACGGCAGTCCTCAGGCAGCAGCAGGAGAGCTCCGAACCGCAGCAGCACTGCTGCACAGAGCAAAGCGTTTCTGGAAGCGCTGGATAAATCCTCACTTTTGAATCCTGAAGCTTTGCAACAAAAACAACTTCATGCGATTTGTTCTATAAATACGCAGGCGAGCCGGGACGCGCCGGAGTTGCTGCCCGCGGCAGAGACACCGCAGGGAGGGGGGAGAGCCGCAGCGGAGGCTGTGCCCAGCGTCCCGCTGACAACCATGCCGTGGGCAGCTGCCGAGGGAAACCCAGGGTGGTGCGGCTGCAGCGCCGGGCAAGGCAAAGGCTGGACACATGGACGTCGCCCAGGGGCCTTCAGAGACCGAGAGGCTCTGCTGCCGCTCACACTGCTCGCTGGAGCTCCATGGGGAGATGAGGGGATTGCTGGCCCATACGATGCCCCATGCCCATCCCGGCAGCAGGGCAGGAGAGCGGCACCACCCAGCCCCGGTGGGATGCCCGCAGCCAGCAGAGCTCAGGGATGCCACCATGGCCAGCGGACTCTGTTGAGGTGGCTGTGCCCTGGAGGAGAGCTCCGGCAGGCCAGGCAACCTCTGCCACGGCCAACCTGGGGAACAAAGTGCCCGGCTGGTGACCAGGAACCGCTGCCAGGGCAGCCAGAACACCGCATGCCACCTCCCCCAGCTGCGGAGAGCTGTGGCCACACGCTCTTGCTGGCCTGGCCTCTGCCGGGGAGAAAGAGGAGGTGTTTTAGGACGTGTCCCAACAGCGGCTGCCGGAAAGACCTCATCCAGCTTTTACCCCTCAGCCCTGCATGTCCGGGCGTTTCCCAGCAGCCTCTGAGCCCAGCACTGCCATCCGAGGGGATGGTGGGCTGCCGGCAGGATCCACTGACGTGTTTCTGCCCACCAGCAAACCCCAGCCAGCTGCCCTTCGGCTTCCAACCCCCTGCGGTAGGGCTGTGGGAGCTCGGTCTCAACTCTGGACACCAAGAAGTCCCTGATAGATTTGTCCCCCAGACCTGGTGGCACGGCAGAGAGCAGTGAGGGGCCAAGTGATGCCATGGCTGCTGGCAGTGGCCAGCATTGCCGAGCCCATGGATGTGGCTGCAGACTCACCCAGTGCCCGGGTGACACGCATCAGCACCTCGCCCAGCTTCATCCTGGTGATGGTGGCTGTGGTGTCCTCCGTGCCCTGCACTGGACACCCGTACCGCACCAGCAGGACAGGCAGGATCCGCTCCGGGTACTCACTGGAGAGCAGGGCAATGCCTGGGGGGAGAGCGAAAGAAAAGAACGGGTCAGGGCCATGCTTGAGGATGGCACGTGCCACCACACTCGGCAGAGGAACTGTCCTGGTGTCCTCGGTGCAGCCGTCACCTGCTGGAACCCCTGCAGCACCCCGGCCCCCGCAGCACATCCCGCAGCCCCTCCGTGCAAAGCCGCAGCACTGGGGCAGCCCAACACCGGGTCTGGCTGGGTGCCATGCTGAAAAAGAAATCATTTAGCATTTGGCAGCAGGTGCCCACTAATTGCTGCTGGTTAACGTTCCTTGACTGAGCATCGACTCGGCATGCCGGCCGTCGGATGCTGCAGGACTCGCCTTGGGACAGCCCAGAGTCGGGGCAGCCAGACACCGCAGGTGACACTTGGGCACGGCGTCTGGTTGCTGCTCCCAGATCCCCGACGTCGGGCACACGCTGCTGGTGCGTCCTCATCCCCACTGGGGCTCCACAAACCCCCCTGGGCTTGCC